TTTTGAGCATGTGAAAGCAGGTCGGCACATAATCTGGTAAAATGTTGTAATGACATGAAAATTTTGACGGATTTAAATTTCTTACATTTGAATGGCCGCAATACTGGTCATGAGGGTGGTTACTTCCTGGTTGCAGAGGTGTTATTGGACCTTTGAGTTATCAAAGAACATTTTTTTTTTATATCTTTTGAATTTTATAGAACACATCAGTACAGTATTCCTCTTTCGCTTTTATCGTCTGAGCTCAATTAGCTAAATCAAACCCTACTTACTTTACATTTAGTTGGACAACTCTCCTTTATGGTGCCCGCAAGTGACATAAGCACATTACACTGATAAAGTTCCCCATGAAGTGGCTGCCAGTACATTTCAGGATTAACTTTTGGATAATGATCATGTTGTTAAGAGTTTAAACTTTCTAGCACTCCCTTATCTAACAGAGCTTTAACACAAGCACAGTCCCACAGGAAGTTTAAGGTGAAGGCCTCTGTTGCTTTTGGATGTTCAGAACTTGGCTTATTACCTATGTGGATTGAAACGCATCTATTGCTGCTGCTGGTAAATTCTGTTAAGAGAATTACTGGAAGGATGGATTAGTCGATGCCTTAAATTCTTAAAGGTAATTTATAAAAGTCCCATTTTTTCGCAACTTTGCTTTTAAATCTCATCGTGCAGAAATATCATAATTCTAATTATTAGGATTTTATATTATTTTGTTATTCAGCTGTTAGCTGTTTTATAGGTTTTTATCTTTTTGTCAATTTGCTGTATCCAAAGTGCAATTGTCATATTTGTCTCTTTTTGTATCCATGGACCTGTACATCACTTTGGTCACTTTTGTGTGTAAACTGCTTTATAAATAAAGAATGAAAGACGGATATCTTCTTAAACCTTAAAGCTTGTGGCAGAGCATCCCGTTCATATGTACCTTCAAAGAAACCGGCTTATTTCACAGAGTACCTTTGAAAGGACACATCTGGGGAATGATGAAGCATCAGTTTCACTTAAAAAAAAAAAGTGATTTCAATGTAAATATCAAAAAGTAGCCTAAAACTATTTAAAAAAAAAGTTTTGAACTTAGTTAACTTATCTGAGATCAGAAATATAAATAGAAGTTTGCTTCTTTGAGGCATGAAACCATGCAGACTTTATAAAACATGTTAAACATGTATCCAATGCTGCCCTCTACTGGTAACAATGAGTAATCATCACCATTTCAAAAAATGATGGAAGCGTATAAATTTAGAGTCAGCAGTGTTGCATCTGTGTGCAGTAAAACCTACGGCCTGAAACAACTTGCGCTGCAGTGGCGGATAGGAGCAGATCTCCTTCAGGCTCCATGTGCTGGCCATGTTGGGCCGCTGACCCAGGCCACTGCAGGGAGCATCCAGCAGAACCCGGTCGAAACTCTCGGGAGGGAAAGGAGGTCCTGCTGTGGATGTGCAGGAAGAAAAATAAATAGATAAAAAGACAACGTTTGTTATTTAACCTACCATAAACCCAGAGGGAGCTTAAATATGTTGTGTTTTACCTTTATACTCCTCCGTTGGTTCAATACTAACAGCCTGAGTGCTGTCGAAGCAGTAAGCTTTGATGCTCTGCAATCTCAGCGTTTGTGCATTCTGACAAATGCGGTCGATCTTGTTTCGGATTCGATCCAAGGCCACAACTTCCCCCTATGTCGGAAAAAACAAGAGGGAATATAAATATATTAACTGTATAATTATGTAAATTGTTTTAAACTTTTAACCAAAAAAGTAGCACGATTACTAGTGATTAATTTCAAAAAAATAAAAAAGATTTCAAATATCATTTGTCGAATCTGGCGTCGCATTTCGGAACGAGTTTTTTCCTAAATATCATTGGCTCAATCTGTAATACAAGAGGATCGACTGGTACACTTTGACATAGCACGAGAAGGAACTTATAGCAGGAACTTAACTAGAATTAAATATAACATTTATGAGTTAAAATAATACTGAACTCATAATGCTCATAAAATCTTTTTATACATTTCATATAGAATCTACGCAAGCCTATCCCTATCCTATTATTTGTTAAAAAATTATTTAAAAAAAATATTTTTTGAATTGACAAGCTAATTGTTATTATCTTATACTTATGTATGTGTGTGTATATATATATATATATATATATATATATATATACACATACATTCTGTACTGTATGCAAGCTAAAAACCTTGAAAAAGAATGGTCTTGCACAGCCAATAGGCATTCACTGCAACAAATGTTAACTACTTTCTGCCACATACAATATGGCAGTGACGTTGACATGCAAATCTGCGCCCAACGAGGCGTCTACATATACATGTCTGTGGTTGTAGCTGTCATGGAGATCATTTAGGGATTCCCACAACAGAAACCATCACTGTACCTTATCCCCCATGAGAGCAGCAATGTGGCAGGTCTTCCCTCCAGGGGCAGCACACATATCCAAGATCCGTTCTCCAGGTTGGGGACCGAGGACGTGCCCCACGACTACAGAGGGAAGGTTCTTCAAAAGCAACACAAAAAGCATTCATGTTTGCAGATTATGTAGAGCAGGTTCCACTAGTCAAAAGAGAGTAAAGAGGTTATATTTGATAAAAGCTGGACCCTGCCTGATTATATCAGATGAACCATTTATGACCCTTGCTTTAATAGGAAGTGACAGAATTACCTGTAAGAACGCCATACTGGGCAGAACTCCATCGAAGGAGGGACTCTGGAAAAGTGGATCCACCATCCGTACACCTACACCTCTAAAAAGCAGAGTAGACAAAGAGATACAGCAGCTGTGAGCATCGGTATGATGACAGACGATATCTAGGGTTATTTGGAAATAGCAAAAATTGGATTTCCAAATACTCAAAGCTAAAATGATCAGCCTTAAACCAACCCTTTTCTGTGATAAAAACATGTCTTATTGGCTAGAGGAGAGAAATTATATAGGAGGACAAGAAATATAAATCTGAAAAGCATTATTCCTGGCTGATCTGATGCGTTCCTAAAATGTTTTTGAAGTCGTTTTAATTCTGCAAAATTCTTGACTGAGCAGTTGAGTTTCTACTGAACTTAAATCATAAAAAAGTGCACTCTATTATATAAGAGGGTCTTAGGTTACCCCTAGATTTTTTTTAAAGATATAAAAGTAAAAGAACCCAAATTTAGATGCCACTTTTGATTCATTGTAAAATCACAGCATTTAGTTAGTTTATTATCAAAAATCCCAATCAAAAACATTAAAGCTTGTGACTGTATGAAATAAAATGAAAAATAGTTTAAGAACATTAATTTACAGGCTGATCAGGAAATGCTTAAACATTAAAAAATCTCACCATTTGCTTTAATGTGTTCCTTTTAATTGATACAAAGTATCAGAAAACTCCAAACTAATCCAGTTATTTTGTTTACTGGTAAATCATTTGCTGGGAAATATATTTCAGGGTCGAGAAAGACCTCAATTATTATATTTCAGCCAAAGTTCTCAATATCTAATAAGAAATTCGAATGCTTACATGTTCATTTCTTCCTATTAGAATATGATTGAAAAAAAATCACTTTTCACAATAAAAACTCTCAATCTAAGACATTTTTCTGCGGAATTTGTCAGGCTATAATATCCACATTATTCTGAAACTATCATGACTGGCCGGCTTGGCAGACATTTAGCTTAAAAAAGAAAAAATGTCACCAACCTTGCAGGGGTCTCTGCATTGAAGATGGCCGACCGATCCATCTCTGCCACGCCATTCCCCACAAACACTTTGTTTCCCTGGAAGCTCGTCGCTCCACGAGTGCACCTTCCCTCTAAATCGGAGAAGACGGACACCAAGTCTCCCGCTTTCATGTCTGACGACATTAACACAACATGAAGAGCAGCCATAGGAGGAAAAGAAGATATTCCAAGTGAATCAAATGAAAGAGTCTTACATTTAGGGCTGGCAATGATCCCAGGGGCGAAGACATGGGCTCCTCTGAGTACAGCGCTGCCGCACTGAGCTCCCACTACCACCTCGGAGCTTAGCTGCTCCACTGGTCTGAGAAAACAGGAGTACATGCAGTAAATGTTTAATTGTCTGTTTCTTTGTCTGAAAGAAAAGCCCTCAAAGGTCCCCAAAATAACTTTACTCTGACAAGTCATAATTAAACTCAAGAAATGAAAGTCATACGTTTGTCCATGAGGTGTAGATGT